AGCCACCTTGATAGACGCAAACCTTGGGATCCCTATTTCTCCTCTTCTCCAAAGGACTCCTGGGACTCACAGTCTCCTGTCCCGACCCCGCCCTCACGGGCGCCTCCCCCTCCCCATCCACATCCTCCTCCTTCTGCTGCTGCTGCTGTTGCACCGCGGAACTCCCCCGCGCCACCCGCACCCCCAGCACGGGCGCCTCCAGCTCCTTGCGCACAAACCGCTCCTCCATACTCTCCGGCAACCGCCCGCCCCCCCGCACCACCGCCTGCGCCTTGGCGAGCAGGGCGCGCAGCAGCTTGGCCTCGCTGACGCGGAACATGCGCTCGTCGCCCGCCTGTACGGTGTCACAGACCGCGGCCAGCCGCGCTTCTACGAGCTGTCGTGTGGTTGGGCAGGCGGCGAGCAGCCGGGCGAGGTGGCGTGAGGGGTCGGGGGTGTTGTCGAGGTGGTCTTCGAGGGAGAGGAACATGCGTTTTTGGGTGGGGAGTGGTGGTGGTGGTGCTTCTTCTTGTTGCGATGCGGCGTTTGTGGTGGTGGTGTTGTAGAGGGCGGGGAGGAGGAGGAAGAGCGGGTCGTAGGGCGTGGCGAGGTGTAGAGCGGGGGATTGGGTGATTTGTGTGCTTTGGGTGGTGTCATCTTCTTGATTGGGGGTGCTGGATTGTATGAGCCAGCTTCGAGGTGTGGATTTGGGTGGGGAGACTGTGGTGAACTCGAAGAAGCCTGCTTCGGGGCAGACGAGGAAACGCGTGGGTTTATTGTAACGCGGGTGTTGAATGACTGCAATGCGCGCGGCAGCAGAGGCGCTTTTAGGGAGAATGAAGAGCTTCGGTGGGTTGCTGGACGGATTTGAAAGGGTGTAAACTGAACTCGAGGTTTTCGTCGCTGTTGTTGCGCTCTTCTTGTCGTCTTTCGACGCCGCGGTTGCCGCGCCTTTAGCGCGAGTTCTCGCCATCGCTATGTCGTTTATGGAGGGGTTTGGTGGAATGATGGTTCCCTGGGGCGCATTGATCCCGTTGGAGTTGGAAAGGGTTGTTCGCAATGTTCTCGCAATGTCCACTGTCTCGTCTCTTTTTGGCGTTGATGCAGGGGCCGCTCATCGCCAAGACCCCTGTAAGTGAGACGCGACTCGACGCGTCGTTAACGCGCTCCCTTGCGTTAGCTCCTTCCATGTCCGATCTTGAAGCGCGTTCGCTCAGCGCAACTAATTCCCTCCCACACCACCTTATCGAGAAGGATAGGGCTTATCGATCTAGACCGAGGAGATCGCCGACGACAGTAACCACCGTGAACATTTTCGTCCAAAATATCGACGCACCACAACTTGCCCCATGCACCCTGCAGCCGCCCGATCATGGTCCTCTTGTCGCACATTAATTGGCTGAAATAGCAATACTTCGAAGACTCGGTTTTCTGCGATCTGACTGTTTAGTTAGCGTTTACCAAGCGCAAGTAAACAAACAGTACTGTTGCAGTCCCGATTCTTAACCCTTTATCTTCCAACGTCGCAACAAGTTCGAGTTTTGTACCTCTCTAGGCGACTGAGGGGTATTACTCGGCCTAGAGCCACTAAATCGTCATGGCTGCCCAATGGCCGCCGCGGTCGCCCCACGATGTCCTGCTTAGCACTCCGGGCGGGCGAGAGAAGCTACGGCGAATCGCAGAGCGCACATCGCCTTCGCCCTCTCCATCGCGACTAAGAACATCTCGATCGGCTGCAGCGTTGGCTTCAAGAGCGGGGGCGGGACGAGGCGGGGGAGATGATGATCCGTTCGAGGGCGATCGCATGGACCTGGACGAAGAAGAGGACGAGGAAATGCTGGAGCTCAAACTTCAGGCAATTCAGGCCCGGTTGAAACTCAAGAAACTACAGGCCGCGAAGGCGTTAAAAAGGACAACGTCAACACAGGGGCTGGGGGCTGGGGATGGTGGGGGTATGAGGGAGGTCCCGTTGCAATCCAAGCTTGCGGCGGTACGAGACAGGTTGGATAAGCAGGCTTCCCGAGATGTCGTGCAGGTTCCGGCTTCGCCAGTCAGGAAGCTGTCTATCTCAGACCTACAACAAACCTCGCCACAAAGGGTGCTTTTAGGGATCGACAAAGGATTAAGGGGGGCTGATGTGTCTCTTAAGAGAGCTCCGAGTCGGGGAGTAGGGACGGACTCACGGCTGGGATTTCTACGGCGCGCAAAATCTCCAACCAACGACCAACCTGGGCAAGAGATAGCCCGGCCCTTGAGCTTCAACGAACGACTCGCGTCGGCAAGGACCGATGAGACTGCTCGCCAAGAGAGGAGAGAACGGGCGCAAAAGGCGCGGAGTACTGCTTTCACCGTAGGGCAGCAAGAGATGGAGGAGTATAAAACAAAAGCACTGGATCTTCCCGACCTCCCGTCAAAACCACAGGAGTTCTCGAGAGAACAGATTCTTTCCTCTATAGGGAAGCCAATTGGCGGCCAATTGCAGCGCAGCAACACTGCACCAACTGTTCGATCTGGGACCCCCTCAGATCCCTTCTCAACTACAGCCACCACAAATGGGGCATCAGAGGGAGCTATTGAGCCCTACTCAGGACTGCATCTCTCGAAGCGGATACTACCGCATAACGTGTTGGCCCGCGCCGTTTCGGGGAAAAAGTCATACCTTCTAAAAGACCTGCTCCGCCAAGTCAAGGCGCCAGATTGGTCCCTCCCAGACGACGAGATTGACATTGTCGTCTTCGCCATCGTCGCCAGCAAGTCTGAGCCACGAAGCCACCGCCCGGGACCTGGGAACGATGGGAAGTCACAACAAGACCGTGGCAAGTACATGGTGCTCACGCTCGTCGACTTACAATACGAAGTTGAGCTGTTCCTCTTCAACTCGGGCTTCCAGCGCTTTTGGAAGTTAACCCCCGGCACTGTCGTGGCTATTTTGAACCCGGGGATCTTGCCTCCGCCGTCGGGGCGCGAGGCGACGGGCAAATTTGGGCTTGTGATTAACTCGGACGAAGACATAATCCTCGAGATCGGCAACGCTCGCGATGTCGGCTATTGCAAGAGCATCAAAAAAGACGGGTCCCCTTGCCAGCACTGGGTTAACGCGCGCCGCACTGAGTACTGCGAGTTCCATACGAACGAGGCCGTCCGCAAAGCTCGTAGCTCGCGTATCGAGCTGAGCACAACCGCCGGTTTCGGTGGCGGCGACGGAGCACGGGGGAGGAACAACTCCCGGCAAGGCTTCGCAAAAAGTGAGGAAGAGCGCCAGCGTGGCCATTACCACCGCGCAACACAAAGCCAGTACTTTATCAGCACCGCATACCGTTCCACCGACCCCGATGACGAGCAAATAAACGGCATTGCCGACCGCAGAGAGCGCGAGGAAGGGATAAAGCGGCGCCTCGCCGCAAAAGAAAATAGAACGCGAAATGGCCCGCCGTCTCGGTGAGATGGGAGGCGGCGCCGGCAAAGAATACATGTCCCGCGCAGCTTCACGCGCAGCCTCCCGCGCCGCAGGCACAACAGCTACAACAACCCCGCCCAGCCCAAACCGGCTCAAGCTTCTCCTCCGCAACCTCGTCCTTCTCCACCGCGCCCGTCTCCTCCGCCACGACCTTCCGGCCACCTCCTTCGGCACGTACGCTTCGCCCATTCAACGCGGCTCGTAACAACCCCGCAGATGGACGCGCGCGGCCCGGGGTCTAGTCGGCCGGCGCGGCGCAGACCAGCCCAAGGTCAGCCTCGGCCCGGCGCCCGCCACCAAGCGCAAGCGGCCCGAGTCGTCGGGCTCGTCCACCGTCTGCGGCGGCAGCTTCCAGGCCGGTTCCCAGGGGACGAGTACCACGAACAACAACACCAACAGCAGGAAAACGCCCCTCGGCTGGGGCTCGACGCTCCACCACAAACTCGGCAGGATGAAGGAAGGGGAACGGCTCGACGGGCGAAAGGCACCCGCCCTCGCACCCCCGCCGGCGCTGGCGCCCGCCCCGGATACCAACAACAACAACAATCCGCCAATCCTGAGCAGCTCGTTCAGCGGCGGTGGCGGCGGTGGTGGTGCTGCGGCGCGGAGGGGGGACAAGTCGCCGGTGCGGAAAAAGACGCGGTTCGTGACCGAGAAGGGCATACGCGAGGCGGGCCGGGAGAGTCTGGGGGAGCCGCTGTCGGCGGCGCTCAAGACGCGGCGGCAGGTCGTGTTGGATGATGATGATGAGGATGATTTGATTATTGTGAAGTGAGCTCGTTTTTTCTTGGGGTTGGGTTAGGTTAGCAGGGTAAGGGTGGGTGGGTGTATGTATATATGTACTCAGGGGGTGGGGTTGTGTATGGGCGTGTTCTGGCTGGGGATGGGTTGGATCGGGCTTGGGTTGGTGGTTGTTTTAGAGGGTTGCTGGTCGGAAGCATGCATGGCAGGCGTTGTGTGTGTTTGTGTACGGTCTGGGTTTGGCTTGGATTTATCGTTATTTGCATAGAATTCGACGCATAGATGTATGAACACTGCAGGATACGATTTCCAGTACTTTGTTGCCACCACAAGTGCCTGTTTTGTAACGGGCTTTCCCTCTTGCCTTCCACAATTTTGAATCTTCTAGTAGAATGAATCTATATAACTCTCGAGTTTATTATGTATGTCTAGGTACTTGCAATGATAACCTTGCGTAATAAAATATGGGGAAGGAAACGACTCGATGTAGATAGCTTCGCTCAACTTTGTGGAACTGACCATTGGGTACAAGTTCAAATACTTGAAACCACCAATAGCAGACAGAGTATATGTATCAACGGGGCCAATAACCTCTAATCTTCCCAAAGCTAACCATACATCCAAACCGGCGTACACGCTTCATTGTCCAGTAACACTACCAACATAACCATAGACCAACCCGGCATAACCTAGACATATCCATAGCCTTGACCCTGACGATGTAGACAGAAACCCCCAACAACACAGCCAAGCCCAACCCCCATATCAATACCCGCCATCCATCATATCGTTCAAAATATCCCGCAACACCGGCTTTCCCCTGAGCATAGCGCGCTCCCCAATCCTCGCCGCCTTTTTTGGTTCCACCGTCCTTCCCTTCTGGCTCAACGGTTTGTTTTCCTTGCCCTTGACCGCACCACCTTCCCCTCTCGGAGGGAATAACAACCCCTTCCTCGGAGCAAACCCCTTAAACGCATCCTCCCCTACATCATCATCAACAGCAGCAGCAGCAGCAGCAGCACCCCTACCCGCCGTAGCACTCCCACTGACCGTAACCTGCGTGGCGCCACCATCCTCACTAAAGAGATGCGCGTCCAGCGCCCCCGCGTCCAGGTCATAAACCCACTCCCTCTCCTCCATGAGCCCCACAAACCTCGCCAGCATCTCGCCCACACCACAGCGACCAAGCGTGGACCTGCTCCCAACCACAAGCAGCTTGGTCTTGGCGCGCGTGAAGGCGACATTGATGCGGCGCCAGTCCTTGAGCAGCTCGCCGATGGCGCACTGCTCGTTGCTGCGCACCAGACTCAGAATGACAACCGACTTGTCGCGGCCCTGGAAGCGGTCGGCGGTGTGCATCTCGACGTCGCGCGCGGCGCCGCCGGCCCCCGATGACGAGCGCAGGAGGGTGTGTTTCAGCAACGCGAGCTGCGAGCGGTAGTGCGTGACGACACCAATCTCGGACGGCGGGACGCCGACGGCGAGGAGGGCGTCGACGAGCTGGGCCACGGCGCGCGCCTCGCACGGGTTGACGATGCGGTTGCCCTTGGCCTGCTCGAGGGAGTGGGGCAGGAGGGCGTCTGTGTTGACGAGGCGGACCCGGGCCGACGGGTGGATGAGGTCGGTTAGCCAGCAGGAGCCGAGGCGCGACGCAGGGCAGAAGGTGGTTGGGCGGGGTTTGGAGGGGCTCAGGTTTTGTTTGGATTGGGATTGCGAGTGGGAGATGAAGGAGGCGGCGTCAAAGTGCCGCGCGCGAAGAGCGTCCATGTTGGGGACGTGCAGTTCAGCATGGCGGAGGGATTCGGTACCACATTTAAGGCGGCCGTTGTAGATGAGGGTGTTGGAGAGCGTCATGATGTCTTCGGACATGCGGTATTGGTGCTCGAGGTTGACAACAGATTGTGGGTGTGTGTCGGATAGTAGCTTGAAAAGAGAAATATCGAGGCCGCCGAGACGAGCTTCTTCGTTTTGCACGAGCGGAGGAAGCTGGTTGTGGTCGCCCACCAGGACGAACGTTCGTGCCATCCGAATGGGACCCAGGCAAATAGGAAGCGTAATCTGCGAAGCCTCGTCCACGATACAGTAGTCGAAGGTGCGTTCGTTGAAGACAGGATGGCTGATAGTCAGACAGGTTGTCGCTACGATTGGGGTGTCGTGCCAGGCGCTTCGTATCTCCTCAAACGACTTCTTCCGCTCGTTGGCCAGCGTCGCGAAGTTCTGGACTTCTGGATGGACCTTGGCAGGGGTACCCAGCCGTAGGATCGGGATCTTGTCGTCTTTAAGCTTGAGCAGGATATTGTCGACGGCAGTGTGCGTGTACGACGTTAATAGGACTGTCTTGCCCTGACCCGGTCAAAAGCCCAGGATGAATATGGGCAATGGGTCGTGGTCTTGCCTGTGACCCGGCATATCCGAGGAAACTAGGGCGTTAGTCCCTGGCGCTTCATGACTTTTTCCGACCGCCGCCTTCTGGTCCAACATTCAAGCTATCCTTGCCCGGGGACGGTATACTTGGGTCGGGGTTGTCTTGAACCTCCGGTGGGTATAAGGTCGACGACTAGCCCGGGCGGATCTCTGAAGACCCCAAAGGGGCCGTTAGCCCATGACCTGGATAAAGGTTATTCCGCACCCGTGGCCATCCCGTTGCTGAACTCGTCCTTGTCAAGACGGTAACGAATCGGCGCCTCCTTGATTTTACCCTGACCCTGTTCTGCCCTCGCGCCCTCAGGGGCTACCTCCATGATACTTGCGAACACCTGATTGTCCACCTCGTTGAAACCCGGCTGCCGAATGCGTGCGTTGTGAAGCCGTCGATCCACAGCGACGCTGATCCGTTGCTTCTTGACGGCTGTCACGAAACCAAGCGCGAGTGCGAAGTGGCCCTGCTCGTCACGATACCACAATGGGTTCTCCGACAGAAAGCTGCGAGTCCATGAAAGAGAAACCCTGGTGCCGAGTTCTTCCTTGATGAAAGTGTAAGAAAAGCGGTTAATCTTGACTTGCTGTTTGTCTTCGGATGCAGAACCTTCTTCAATGATAACATTGGCGAAACAGCGACCCAACTTCTCGCGCTCCGTGCTGACCATCGTCCAGAGTTCTCGACGCAACTTCTGGCTCTCCTTTTCTTCCTTAGTAAGGAGGTCCTCCCACTTCAAGAAGAAATCCCGATGCGTCGGGGTTAGATGCTTAACTAACTCGTCAAGAATTGACGCCCAACCCAATGGTCTCACCGTTACAGCCGTCGGCCAGCTTGTGATAGAAGAAGCACGATGTCTAGGGCATAGCACCTGGCGAAAAATTCTAATCTCTATTCATGGGCGGCAGAAGAAAGCTACGTTCGCGGATGAAACTGACCAACTTGTTCCGCTGCATAATCATATGCTGCAGATCGCACCGAATGGCGGGGATGCGTAGCGTCTGCGAGGTTTCCATGTAATACAGAACGCCATAGACGATTTCGAGGTCGTATCGATCCGAAAGGAGGAGATTGTACAGCATGGTCTGAGCTTGGTGGTTTGATGTGGCGTTCTTTCCAGTCTTGACCTCAAAGGGGACAGTCAAGGTCTGAGACTTTTTCCCGTCCCGCATCGTGACCTGCACGGTAGCATCGATGTTCCCCTTCAGGCCGTACATGGGGAGACCAGACGTGTTCCTCGACGTCGAGAAGCTTGCTCACGCACATATTGACTCGTTCGCCGTTCTTCCCTTGTGCGATTGCGCCGGCCTTTGGGCTTGCAGCTACAAAAGCCTGTGCCCAGGCCCGTAGCTCAGGCATCTTGGAGAGGAGGTGAGATTGGGCATCCTCGAAGGTGACCTTGATGACATAGAGATCCTCAATGTGAGTTTGTAGAGTTTTGTTGATCACGGACTCCAGAAAGCCCATGCCCCAGTTGTTCGCCATTAATGCCTCTTGGAAAATTTCGTGGAGAATGGTGCCGTAAACTAACGGAGGGGTTGACTCGCTGGTGGCTTTCACCCGGTCTTGGAGAACAGCACGGCGTGCGCAGGTGAAAGAATCGGCGACGACGGTAGAGGAGACCAGTTGGTCGGGGTGTAAGATGAGGGTATTGTGGTTGTTGTCAATGATACATCTACCAGAAGACTCGAAATTGCCGATAATATGGACGTAGGCTTTGGGACTGGCCTCCGTCTCGTCGTACCAGTCGTTTCTCAGATGAACCGTCTTGACAGCGTTTGTTCTCTCGGCTTGTACAAGGAGGATCTGAGCCGAGTCAGCACGGGGCTTTGAGAGAAACCAGGGCACTTCTCACCTTCTCAGGGCATTCTCGTTGGTGCTCATCGAAATAGGAGCTCTCGAGGACATTTGTGATCAAGTACCGCTGGATCGCCTTGGGCTTCTGACTAGGCTGTCCAATGCTTTAGCGTTTCGTCGTTACTTTTATGCTGGCTACCCTGCGGTACGTACATTGGTCGAGAAGGGCTGGGCAGTGGCCTGTGTCGCTGCCAGTCCGACGGCATCGAAGTCGGCATCGTCAAAATCGTCACCATATGCATTATCGTCGATCCAAGCATTGGCAGATTTATGCTGTTGTCCGTGGAAGGGATTTTGAGACGCATGCTTTGCCTCTACCTCGGCTACCAACTCTTCAGCCCCGTCAAGAAAGTCATCATCAAAATCACCAAATTCATCGTCAGCCACTTTTGGTGGGGGCTGGGGTTGGTGGTTCAGTTCATCCACGGACACGACCATAGTAGAGTCGTCTTCCTGCACCGGAATACTCGCATCAAGCCCCAGTAACGTTTCGTCGTCGAAGTCGTCATCCCCGTAGTCGGAGGAAGCCTTGTCTCCGAAGGAGATCCCGGCATCGGATTCTCCTGCCGTCCTCACCCCTGTCGACTTCTTGGCTAAGGGAGAGCTTCCGTGTTGCCGCCGTGAAGGTGACTGTCTGATGGGGCGTTGAGCGCTCGGAGATTCCCTGATGGGTGACCGCTTTTGTGGTGAAGGAGGTTTCGGCTGAGTCGACTTGGATTTGATTTCGCCGTTGACAGTTTCCAACAGCGCCGACACCATAGATGATTTGGTGTCTGGCTGGGTTTTTGCGCCCGCAACATCGGCTAGGTCTGATTCAACACGCTCAACTTTTCGTCGTTTAGGCCAGTGAGCACCACAACTGATTGCCTTTTTCAGGGGGCCTTTCTGCGTGCCCAAAGTGGCGGCTGCCATCCCTTGGGATCGAAGGAGGAGGATGAGACCCATGAGTTGGAGCGGAGCAGCCGGGTTCGTCAAATCCGGACGGGGCTAGTATTTGCTCCGGGGACAGAGAAGCGGTTCCCACAATTCCATTGCCGGATCGGCCCGGGGCGTCTTGAGGACCTGAGCAAGCTTTTTGGCGCCCGACGGCAGGTGTGGCGTGCTTGGAGGCTGGAGATGATATGGGCGTACGAGCTTTCTTGCGCGCTTCCGGCCCCTTGCGCGGGATCAGCGGCGACATGGCCACCAGGACGGCCTGCGTCGTGGTCATTGCGCCAGAGGATGCGCTCACCGGGGGGAAAGATTCTCGTCGTCCTTCGGTGCTTCGGGTTTGCTGAGCAAGTCCTGCCACGCGGTGCGGCCGGCCGGTGTAACAGCGTTGATGACTCTCTCTGGTGCCGGCGGCGAGGTGTGCTTCGATGTTGCGGGTTCCGGGTCAGCATTGGGCAGGGTCTCGAACTGGAAGGCCTGTAGCTTTGATTTCGTTTTCGTCGAGACGGGGAAGGGAGGTGGAGGAACGATGGTTCGCGGCGCGGGGTTGCTCCTGGATCTCTGCCATCGTGGACGCTATTGATGACAACATTAGCATCTATCAACACCCAATTCCATTGCTAACAACATGGTTTCTCCGACCTTGGGACCTCTGCTCTGCTCAGAAAAGGACTTCGTAAGAGGCATTGCTCGTTTGGGTTGCGCCCAGCGCTACAAAGTGGTACATCTATGTACAATGTACAAACGCGTTTGGGTTTGACGATGATGGCATCCGAGTCACAGCAAGCCAAGGCGATTAGGATACAAGGACGGCGCT